GACCAAGAGTCAAATAAGAATAGAAAAGAATAGAAAAGAGAGACTTTACTTAGGACCAAGAGTCAAATAAGAATAGAAAAGAATAGAAAAGAGAGCCTTTACTTAGGACCAAGAGTCAAATAAGAATAGAAAAGAATAGAAAAGAGAGCCTTTACTTAGGACCAAGAGTCAGTCAAAATGAACGTCCACCCAAGCTTCTGTTGCCCACCTTAAAGCTGAGAAATACAGTAAAAACCAGGACAGGCTACTTCTCATCGCTAGCGTTTCACTGCCGTCCTTTATCATTTGAAGTTCAATGACAGTGTCTGTCAGTGCTTGACACTTTATCGGTGGACCCCCATAAAAGTTAGTCAAGATTAAGAATTAACTCCCACGTAAAGTTTCTAATAAAGCCCAAGTGGTGTGTCTAAAATCTGAAATCATCTACGCTGTTATCTGGGACTCCATGAAGATGAGAATGAAGACGAGTATAGCTGGCAGGATGCTGGCGCCCATCATCCAGGCTGGAAACTGCCCGTCCGACCCCAGAAGGGAAATCACCCAGCCTCGCTTCTCTGGGCTGGACACCGAGAATCCGCTGGGCACGTTCAGTTTCTGCGAGCAAAGGATGACGGCAGCTATTTAAAGCCCAGTACAAGGTTCTTTTTTTGAGGCTTAAAATGTGCTCTCCCCCACCTGAGTATAGGTGTCCTGCACACTGTAGTCCACCAGCACCATGATGAGGATGGCAATGGGGACCCCAAAGTCTCCGATGATCCTACGGAGCTGAAACACACAAAACATCATGTGAGAGCTCAGTAGGCACCAGGAAGGAAACATCCAGATGTAGAACCAATGAGGCAAGTGTGGGTGCATCTGAGCTCATTCAGAACACCTGGATAGGAAGTGAAGCTGAGACACCGGTGGAGGTCTTTGGTGCGTTGTTTTGGGTGTACATCGATGGTATCTGACACTGTGATTGTCTATAACAGCTTAACATGTGTACACCTGTATTTACAGGTAACTGTGCTCATAAACACCAGAGCCTATTAGTTAAAGAAGGTGGGTCGTGTGCACGCAGTGACCCAGGAGCTCTTTTCAACCTTTTACTTACTTTACAAAATGTTTTTCTTTACATTTATACTGTCAGCTAAGCCACTCCGAGCCTTAATACAGCACAGAAGGGCTGAATTGTGGGACATTGAGTTTTTACATCCCCAAAGCTGGATTTGATCCCAGCAGACATACAGTGGAGAACGTGAGTGTTATGTGTGAACGCATAATGACAATGAAGGACTCTTCTTTGTGGATACCTTAACTATTTACACCTCAGCTTATCTAAATAATTATCATCAATGGAGCTCCAGTGGAGAGGGTGCAGTCCTTCAAGTATCTTGGTGTCCACATCTCCTCAGACCTGACATGGGCTGCCCACATTCAGGTCCAGACCAAAAAGGCTAGGCAGCGCCTGTATCACCTACGACAACTGAGGAAGTTCAGGGTCTCTCCAAAGATCCTCAGGATTTTCTATACAGGCGCTGTGGAGAGCATCCTCACACAGAACATGACATCGTGGTTCGGGAACAGCTGTGTGAAGGACCAAAAAGCTCTCCAGAGAGTGATCCGTACAGCAGAACGCTGCTGCAGGATTGCTCTCCCCCCGCTTCAGGACACACACCCGCCCTCTCACATCATCTATAATTGACTGAGACAGGACTCTTCCAGACACTAAACCAAGGCACAATGTACATTTCAATTCCTTTAATTTTAAATATGTTTATATTGTCTATCCTGTAAAATAGTCAGATGTCTATTCATATTAATGTACAGAATTCACCTGCTTGCTGCTACTACTGCACATTCACCCAGTGTATATACTACTTACACACACACACACACACACACACACCCATACACCCACCCAACCATCCACCCACTGACATTACCCACTATATATATATATATATATAAATGTTTTCCTCTACACCCCCCCCTCCCCCTCCAATTTTTTTGCACATGTCGAGGAGCGTGTCAGGCTACATTTCACTGTGTGTTATACTTGTATAACTATGCATGTGACAAATAAAGAACCTTGAACCTTGAACCTAAACTGTATACTGAGCTGAACTTGCATACCTGCACTCATGCAAACATGTGCTGTGTTTGTATGAATCGTTGCAGTTACAGTATCTTCCATCATTCTGTCCAATCAGTATATCTCAGGCTGTGAGGATGAATACACCTGGGCGAGCAGCCAGTCTGTCACAGACTTATGCTCACCTTACCACCTGCAGCCAGTTTAGAGTAATCACTTATCACACTGGTTGTGGAGAGAAACCAGCACATTGAGAAACTGGAGAAAGGACCCCCAAACTATGATCCCAGAGTGCTAACCAGCACACCACCGAGCTGCTCCGTGTGTACTTTCAATCTTTTAGATCTTAGCCTGCAGAACCTCGTATGTACTGTAATGTGTATATACCTGTATGTACCTGTGTTTGTGTGTACTGACCCTTCCAGGGAAGAAGGAGCTGTTTTTGAACTTGCGAAGGTAGAAGGCGATGAAATACGTTCCTGCCATGAGGACCAATGACAGCAGAGCAGTGTTCGGTTCTCCAACAACTTTCCCAGGATTCCCGGAGGCCATAGTGTAGTTGCAGTGAGATGGAGATTCAGTGTTGTTTCCATGGTAACAGTTATGGAGTGGATGCTCCTGAAAGATCTGAGAAAGACCACCAAAGAAGACATTGGCTAAAGTACTACTACTACTTGATGGGCAGCAGGAAGCACTGAGTCTGTCTTGACCTCACAAGACAGAGTCTCCCATCTTCCTCCCCTCACACCCAAACTGTTGAGATTGAAATGAACTGATCAGTGTTAGCTCCTGAAGTGCCTGAGCTGTTTCAGACTCTGTTTCCCTCTGCCAAGTGTGTTGAGTATCTACAATGGTGTGAAAAAAGTGACACCTCCCCCACCCACCCCCCGTAGTGATTTCTTTATTAAATAGGTCCTGCTTGACAAAGTTGAGTTGACCAAAAGATCCTCAAAGGCCAGACATCATGCTGTGATCCAAGGAAATTCAGGAACAAATGAGAAACACAGTAGATGTCTCAGTTGGGAAAAGGTTATAAAGCCATTTCTAAAGCTGTGAGACTTCAGTGAACCACAGTGAGAGCCATTATCCACAAATCGCAAAGACAAGAACAGCGAGCCTTCCCAGCAGTGGCCGGCTGACCATCCAAGAGGTCACAAAAGACCCCATAAGAACATCCAGAGAACCACAGGCCTCACTGGCTTCAGTTAAGGTCAGAGTTCATGACTCCATCATAAGAAATAGACTGGGCAGAAATGGCATCCATGGCAGAAAACCACTGCTGAGCAAAAAGAATGTAAAGGCTGATCTCAGTTTCCCAGCAAACATTGTGAAGATGCCCAGAACTTATGGGGAAATACTCTGGACTGACGAGAGTTGAACTTTTTGAGTCCCGTTACATCTGATTTAAAAGTAACACAGCATTTCAGAAAGGGAACATCATACCAACCGTAAAATGGGTGGTTGAAGTGCAATGTCTGGGGCTGTTTTGCTACCTCAGGAACAGGAAGAAAATGGAACCATGAATTGTGCCGTCTACCGAAACATCCCGAAGGAGAATGTCTGGCCATCTGTTGGTGACCTCAAGATGAACCACACTTGGGTTCTGCAGAAAGACAATGATCCAAAACACACCAGCAAGTCCACCTGTGAACGGCTTAAGAAAAACAAAATGAAGACTTTGGAGTCCTGACCTGAATCACGACCTCAATAAGGTGCTACCCTCCAGTGTTGACGGAATTACAACCATTTTGGCCATAAAACACTGATTGTCAGTTATCACAAATGATGATGGCAGTTGTTGCTGCTGAGGCTGGCCCAACCAGTTATTAGGTTTAGGGGCAATCACCTTTTCACACATGGCCATATAGGCTCCCCTTAATCACCATTCATTTAGAAACTGCATTTTGTGTTTACTTGTCTTTGTCTAATATTTAAATTTGTTTGATGATCTGTTTCGGAGACCAAACAACCAAGAACATACAGGCGCAGGTATAATCTTCAAAAGATGGGCTTTATTATACCCCAAAAAAGACAAAGTTACCCCAAAAATTCAAAATATTGGAACCAACTAAGAACTAAGTCGGCCCATGAACTCGACTAAACAGAATTCTACTAAAAAATAATCTCGTAAGCCAACAAATTGACCTGCCCAAATAAGAGACAGCTCTATTAATATAGCAGCTGAATGAACCATTTTAAACATCAGAGGTGAAAATGACAAAGACGATAGCTAAACTTAACAGGAAGAAACTCTATCCCCCTGTGTGGTCACAACTAATGATTAAGTCCAGTTTGTTGGCCTCTGCACTTAAACCAGCTCCACCCTCAGCATCCTCTGTTACGCAAAGCAGGAAGGACCGGAGCAGCAGCCAGCTTTCTCAGAAAGACAGAAAGTGATTATTACAACATATACCCATAGTACCATGACAAACAATACAAAGTAAATTTGTTACCAAAATTTGAACACTTGTGTGACAAACATTTAGAAAAACAGGGAATCGGGACGGGGGCCATGCTGGATGGATCGTGTGGACCGATCACAGTACATCTACATGACTCAAAGGTCCTTTTGTACTAAGCAAGTATCAACTCTATCTTCTGCTGAGCTACCTAAAGAAAAATGGGGAACTATGAAGAAGATTCTGCCTTCGTTTCAGTCCTCATTTTCATATCCTTTCAAAGAATATCTAAATGAAAGAATCCACGAATTACCTGAAAAACTTCTGAACTTACCTTGATCAGCTTGGCGAAGGTCTCATAGATAAAAATGAGAGAGATCAGGAAGGAGAAGATCTCCTGTGTGAAGCGTGAAACAAAGCGAACGAGTATGCTTCCCTCGAAGGCCACGGTAAGGACAACGATGAGCACCAGCCAGAGACCAATCCATGCCCGACCCGTCAGATACTCGATCCCATTAACTTTACAAAACTAAACAGGAACAAAGAGGAGGCAGGTTTCAGGAGACAGTCTGAAATACTTTGGTCTGATGTTGCTACAGTGGACAAAAAGACTGTTATCATAGATGAGACTGGAATGAGTTAATGACTGTCCCCATCTCAGCTCAGCCAATGTCAAGATGCTGGAAAACTGAACAACTCTCAGTAATGATGCACAAGCTTCTGCTGAGTTCTTTCACTTTTGTCAAATTTCTACAAAATTAAAATGTAGATCTAAATTAGGTTCTGTACATATAGGCACTATCCACTGTAGAATTTGAAAGGCTGTTTGCAAACAGGAGATCACCGGATGTAAGTAAAAGCTTTTTTTTCAAGCTGATGTGTTCAAGGTCATTTTGATCGTTTGCATAACTGAGGAGGAAAAGACAATTTCAAGAAAGCTTTGAGTCAAAAAGAAGTAAATCTACAAAACCTTGAGTTTAAAACGTTTCATTTAAATACAGGTTATATGCTGATGTGTCGACTTTGTGTCAGGCAATCTCACAGTGTAGAAGGCCTCTTCGAATACAAGCAGCGGTCCGGAGAAGCCAATCACCAGCAGCGGCTGAGCTCCCAGCACACTGAACACAATGCCCTGCAACGCAGTGGCCACTATCAGCTCCGACACACCAATCAGACCCTCCGTTTTCTCACCTGCAGGGATGAAGATCACAGATCCTCATATGGATCAAAGGTAAGGCGGCCTTTCTTCAGCCAAGCCTCGCCAGGTTCAGACTTACCAAGCAGTCCACCAAAGGTGATGGCAGGTGACAGTGCAGCAAAGTAGATAAAGATAATGGCAGCCATACACTGAGGGTTTAGAGCATCTCGGATGTCGCTGAAATACTGAGGATAGCGCCGCATAACGTCTTTGATGAGGCCTCCAAACAGACGACCTGACCTCCTCAACGGCTCATCACCAGGTTTGGAGGGAACAAGAGAATCTGCAGGAGAAGAGCAAGATTCTTTAACATTTTTGCACTGACATTAAAGCTTTTAGGAAACATGAATATTTTAATATTTAGGGAATAATAAACATTTACCATAAAAGCAGGCAACATGCAAATTTAATGCTCCAGGAAAACGGCTGATTCAGGCAAAACTCCCATCAAAAACCTGTTCTTTCAGCTATTTTTAAGTTTTTATTACTCAGCTCTAACCTGCTCCTGAAACTGGACTCAGGCAGCTGGGGCTCACCTTCGTCCTGCTGAATGCTGGTCTGTTTCTCCTGAAGTTTGCTGCTCTGCTCCTCCCTCTTTCTGAGCATTTCTCGTTGGAAGTGAGCCACTGAGTGGAGCAACTCGTCACCGCTGACCTCAGAGGGCGGGAGGACGATGCTGCTGTCCAGAAAGCGGTTGATGGCTGTCAGCAGGTCTTGACGGTCGTCTGCCTGGTACGCCGCCTCATGGAAGTTCTAAAAGAACAAAAAAGATTGGACCTCATGATAATAGATGATGCTGATTAATATCTGGTGCCATCAGGAAGTATCTTACACAGTCTGCTGGCACTCACCTTGTCAGACATGAGTGTTGAGATAGAGCGTCCAATCTGATGGTAGTCAATGTTGGCAGTGGGCGGGCCCAGCAGGAGGAAGAGGAACCTAACTGGCACAGGAACCTCCAAGACAGATTCCAGCAGAACTGCCTCCTGCAGTCGCACAAACGCCATGGATGGCTGGTCCAGGAAACCCACACTGCCTGCAGACACATGAGAGTGATGCACTGAACCCAGCGAACATGCTCCTCCACACGGCAACACATGACCAAGAAGGTTATACATGTCCATGTTCAGTCCTGTGAAAAAGGTTTTGGTACTAGGGAAGTGTAAGTCTTTGATTTTCATCTTTCTCCTTGTGCTACCCAACTAGTCTTTAAAGATACAAGGAGATACAAGAAGCCATGCAGCCAACCCTCCCTGAGTTTTCTTTGTTGCTAGTGTTTGCACCGGTGTGATCGGTGTGATGCATACCTACGAGGACCACAGTGGCCTCAGCTCGCTCTGGGATCTTCTCCATTAGCTTTACCTCATGCTTGGATCTGGAGTGACAGAGCTGTGGGACTTCTCTCTGGACAAGCACAAAGTGAAGTCAGTGCCATACCAACAGGCTGACCTTCATGTCCAGCACATACATCTGACACCAGGCACTCTGAGGTGGAGGCTTCAGCTCCACCTAAAGTTCAGTTTTTACCTTGTTCTTCTCTCCATCAGCCTCCTTGTGATTGGTCAGGTTGATGCAGGGATCAGATTTTCCATTGTGTCTGTCGATAAGGTTGGCCATGTTTGCTGCAGAGATGTTCCTGCTGAATAAGCTGTGATCTTTCTCATCGCTGGGGTGACTGAGGAAAGAAGAAGAAATGTGCTCAGGAAAAGGCTGGCTGGCTGGCTGGCTGGCTGGCTGGCTGGATGGATGGATGGATGGATGGATGGATGGATGGATGGATGGATGGATGGATGGTTGTTTGGATGGATGCATGGATCGGTGGGTGGGTGGATGGATGCATGTTTGGATGGATAGATGAATGGATGGATGGATGGATGGATGGATGGATGGATGGATGGATGGATGGATGGATGGATGCATGTTTGGATGAATGGATGGATGGATGGATGGATGGATGGGTGGATGGTTGGTGGTTTGGATGGACGGTGGATGGATGGATGGATGGATGGTTGGTTGGTTGTTTGGATGGATGGATGGATGGATGGATGGATGGATGGATGGATGGATGGATGGGTGGGTGGATGGTTGGTTGTTTGGATGGATGATGGATGGATGGATGGATGGGTGGATGGATGGATGGTTGGTTGGTTGGTTTGGATGGACGATGGATGGATGGATGGACAGATGGATGGATGAATGGATGGATGGATGTTTGGATGGATGGATGGATGGATGGATGATGGATGGATGGATGGACGGATGGATGAATGGATGGAAGGGTGGATGGATGAATGGATGGATTTTTGGATGGATGGATGGGTGGATGGTTGGTTGCTTGGATGGATGGATGGATGGATGGATGGATGGATGGATGGATGGATGGATGGATGGATGGATGGTTGGTTGTTTGGATGGATGATGGATGGATGGATGGATGGATGGATGGGTGGATGGTTGGTTGGTTGTTTGGATGGATGGATGGATGGATGGATGGATGGATGGATGGATGGATGG